TATATGTGATTGAGGAGAACTAGGGAGCTGCATGGGTGCTTTTGTTTGTAACAGTCCTTAAACTAGTTCTTTACTTAATACATAGATCACTTAAATGACAATATCTGTGGTTAATTTCCCACACAGTTTTACCAGTTTATGTTCCTGTCTGTCAGCATTAGTAGTGTCTTAGTGCCTGTTAGGGGAACATGGAGGGCTGTGTATCTTAAATTCTTGCCTCTGGATCTCTGGAGCACATATAGAAGTACTTCACAAATCAAGTTTTGGCAGTGTGGTCCAGTGGTAGTAGTGGGTTCCCATATTGTGAGGGAGTTGATTATGCTAATACTTATGTATGAATTCTCAGATTGGACATGAACCATTTCCACCATATGCTACAACAACGCTATTTGGAAGACCGGCTCTTGCTTTGCCAAATGTCTTCAAGTACAGTAAGTACACCTTAGATATATCTGTTTCATAGGCTTTTAATTTCTGATTGAGCATCATTGTTTTATCAGAATTACTGGGTACAAAGTATAAATCACTCCGTCCAATGTGACCTGTAAGTCTTTTACTACATAAAGGGTCTTAAGTTTTTATGTAGTAAAAGACTTACAGGTCACATTGGACGGAGTGATTTATACTTTGTACCCAGTAATTCTGATAAAACAATGATGCTCAATCAGAAATTAAAAGCCTATGAAACAGATATATCTAAGGTGTACTTACTGTACTTGAAGACATTTGGCAAAGCAAGAGCCGGTCTTCCAAATAGCGTTGTTGTAGCATATGGTGGAAATGGTTCATGTCCAATCTGAGAATTCATACATAAGTATTAGCATAATCAACTCCCTCACAATATGGGAACCCACTACTACCACTGGACCACACTGCCAAAACTTGATTTGTGAAGTACTTCTATATGTGCTCCAGAGATCCAGAGGCAAGAATTTAAGATACACAGCCCTCCATGTTCCCCTAACAGGCACTAAGACACTACTAATGCTGACAGACAGGAACATAAACTGGTAAAACTGTGTGGGAAATTAACCACAGATATTGTCATTTAAGTGATCTATGTATTAAGTAAAGAACTAGTTTAAGGACTGTTACAAACAAAAGCACCCATGCAGCTCCCTAGTTCTCCTCAATCACATATATAATACCATTACTACAAGCGCTGTCACATAATCCACAATTTTCCTGTTCAACTACTAAGGGCATCAACAGCTAAATCCATCCAGGGCAACAGACTAAGCCAACAGCCAATGTTATTATACCTGATACTACAAAAATGAAGATTACTGAACCAAAGTAAATGCATATAACAATTGTTTGGTAACTTCAGGAGAAAATATAAACACAGGTCATTATCCAAATATGAGGGTCGTACTTAAAGTCATGAGCAACAATTTTTCGTAAAGTAACATGCTTTATTATTGACAAACCAAACACACCACCTCAATCTACAGGCCTTTCTTTATTTTCCCACATAATTGCCACTTCTTTGTACACATTTCTCCCAGCATTCTGGGAGTTTAAAAGTCCCCTTCTGTAAAATTCCATTCCAGCCATCCGAAGACACTGATACACTGCTTTCTGAATTGCCTCCTGTCTCAAAATGTTGTCCACACAACTGATCCTTCACAAATCCGAAAAGACGGTAGTCGGAGGGTGCCAGATCAGGGCTATAGGAGGGGTGTGGAAGAACTTCACACTCCATTTTTGCAATTGCTTCCAATGTGAGGCGAGCAGTGTGGGGGCAAGCACTGTCATGCAGGATGATGATGTTTCATCCCGGACGTTATTGCGCAATGCATGACGGAGCTTGTGCAGTGTCTGGACATAACGAGCATCATTGATGGTTTGCCCAGTTTCCAAGAATTCGGCCAGAATAAACCCCTCTGCATCCCAGAAGACTGTGCCCATCACCTTCACAGCTGATGGCACTGTCTTCGCCTTCTTTTTTGATGGATACTGCAAATGGTGCCATTCCATACTCTGCCATTTCGTTTCAGGCTCAAAATGGTGAAACCAGCTTTTGTCACCTGTCACAATACAGAGCAAAAATCATCGCTTTTGAGTCAATATCTCTGCAGCAGTTCTGAGGTGATGGCTTTTCGCTGACCTTTGTGGTCTTCGGTCAATAACAGTGGGACCCAACGAGCACAAACTTTCCTATAGCCCAAGCTTTCAATCATCTCTTGTACTGCACTGTGCCCTATTCCAAGTTTTCAGGCTATTGTGTCCACAGTCACACGCCTGTCATCTTCAATGATCTCATCCACTCTTTCCTTGTTGCGTTCAGTTGAGGCTGTTTGAGGATGACCAATCCGAGGCTCATCTTCGATGCTGGGGTTCCCATCTTTAAAGTGTTTCACCCATCTTCAAACAATGCTGATGTCTCTGGTGAATTTATGCAGCAGGGATTTCCTCTTTCACAAGAAATTCAATGACAGCACACGGGCGAAATGACATATCGTTGTCGGCCATTTTGTTAGAAGTGATACTGGTCAGCTATTGACCGTCACAAGACACTCAAGGTGAACACAACAGTTGGTTCCACCTACCACCATACTCTCTTTCATCTGCTGTTCCCAGGTAGTATGCAAAAAAAGTTGCTCATGACTTTCAGTACGACCTAAGTATAACAGAACATTTCAGCAGTCAAAAGTACATGAGTCAAATTTCTTATAATTCTAGACTTCCACCATTTCAAGACACAGAATAACTCAGGCAGTAAACTGATTGGTCATGATTCAATCCCCAGTACAGTAATTCATAATCCAGGTCAGTTCTAGAACCCATCCAACCACATAGTCAAAGGCTATAGTGGTCTCACTTCCTGGTGGTAAAGGAGCCGCTGCAGGAAACATAACATTCACATTTGTGTAATACTGGAATTAGAACATGTGGAACTAAATGTACACAGCTCCCATAAGCCCTTATGGATTTTACTCAGGTAAAGTTTAAGTTTTACCTTAGCTCATCACTCTCTCTGAATACAAAATTAAAGTACACATATAACATGACACGATACAGTGTCAGTCAAAATAACTGTTGGTCTTTTCCACTGTTTTCAGACAAAATGCTTCCAAAATAAAGTTCTATAAGTGGAACAAATATCCTGATAATCTGCAATATTCAGACAAACCAGACAACTGCAGTATGATATTAAAGATGGGAGGGTTGATGTGGTAACAAAGCATAATGCAACCCACACTAAAATTAACCTTCAAATGTCACACTATGCTTCAAAATTCTTGGGTGTCAGGAAACTGTAAAAAAAGAAAGTAAGTCTCTCCCTGTATCAGGCAGTGAAGGCCCATAGGGTTGTGAGACATCGANCGCACCGGTCGCGCTTTACTCCCCAGGAAAATTATTTAATTAATTCCTGGTACTCATTTCTGTTAGAGGCTGAGTTGACCTCAGGGCCATAGTGCAGCTGGAAAGATTAGGTAAATCGAAAAGAAATCCACCTCATTGGGACTCAAACCTGTGACTTTCCAGCTTACAGCATAGTGCCTCAACCATGCAACTGCAGAACCTGTATTTGGTAAATACTGCAATTACCAATAAGCTCTCCATTTCCTTTATAAATGTACTTCAGTCTACAAATAAACATGTTATAACTGCTACTATGATACTGAATTTCCTTAAATATTCTTTTGTACAGCGGATAAATTGTCTACTATCGATGCTGAAAAAGAGCCAGACAGAAATTGTTCTATAATACTGAAGGAATCTGATTATGCATAATAATTCAATGAAATGAAGAAAACTTATACATCAAGCACATCAAACACAACAAACCAGAGAGCTTGTAAATTAAGCAACATAACTTTCCCACAAGCTTTAACGGTGTGCTTTTCTGTCGCTGCTGCTTACCGTAACAGTTCACTATGGGGTTGTCACCACTTGGCTGGAGGGGAAAAGCGCAACGGTATTCTGGGTATAGGCACGCTTTATTGTTTAAATCAGAATAAATTTACATGTTCCTAACCTCAACAGCGAACCTCTTCTCCAGCATGCCACAGTGAAGAAACGAAGCCGGAGTTATTTACACAATACAGTTTGTTAAACATCATACAGAAGCTGTATACATTTCAGTTATCCTAACATCATACAGTAAATTGATGCACGTTTCCGACATTAAGTTGTTTTTGTTACTATAAATTCTCAACAAACCTGAATTAACACTTTGGCGTATTCCATTGGATGCGCGACCGAATTAATAACAATTCGCAATGCCACCTCATTCCACTTCGATTCATTTTTCGAACTAGACATTTTCGGTGACTACGCGCTATTCCAAAACCGCGAGCAGACCCACAATATACTGATCAATTAACCTTCTTCGCATAAAACTTCATACCGTTCACACCATACGTTACACCCATTCGTATCGCCTTACTTCCTTGCCATCTATTGGCGACGGGCAGCTGAATTCCGTCATCGGTGATATGATCGGCACAAAAGTGCACCACTATCTCATATTCGCTCGCCCTCATATTTCACTCCTTTAATTACATTACCTTAACGTATTATTTTTCCAGGAAATCCTCAGCGAAATCGGTGATGTCTGTAACACCTTAGGTTCAATTCTGAAATGGAAATGGCAGAAGACTGCTTCATCTCATAAATATTTGTTCAACCAAACTTTCTGTACAGCGTAAAAGCTTTCTTTTTTATTACTTCCTTGAACAGTTCTTTAACACACTTAAGAAAATAAGAAGCACTGTCCTCAGTGACAGTACAATATTAAATTACTAAACAAATGCATCACTACAAACATGATCCATGTGATGCCCATTTTAGAACATATGCTTCAATACAACAGAGCCATAAGTAATTAGTCTAGCACTGTTTGACGTATACACAAATGTAACTAAATTGGCAGATACTGTATTCAGCAAAGAGTGACGGCGTTTCTTATTGGGTTATCAGTATTATTTCATATAACTTCTTATGTGTTGTAGAGCTTGTGATGATGACGATAACAAAAAACTGTGAGGTAATGCTCTACACTTGTATTTGTAAAGTTCTCGGTTCGAATCTTGACTGTCCTGATTTTTTATATAACGTTTTTCCCAATTCTCCCAGGCAAATGCTGGAATCATACCTTCATTAGGAAACAACTGCTTTCTTCCAAACACTTTCCACTTCATCATTCATCAGTCTTCTTACCATTCGACGCTAAATACCCTAAGTAACTAAAGACAGTGTAAAATAATCCATAAAAAATAAATTTCATTTCGTGTTTGTTACTTGCCATAAAAAATTTTAGAAATATATATGTCTTACATAGTAGTTTACATGGTCCTTAGAGGGCAGCACATTAAAACTGATTCGTGCTGCCATCTAGGTAGACTGGGCTAACTTCTAACTTTCCAAAAGTGTGAATTATGCCCTTACTACATAAACAATACATGCTATTAGGATTCCAGACGTTTCGCAAACTGTCCATGGGTTACATTATGTCCGCCCTTCTACAAGTAACAGTGTCAAAACTATGTGACCGAGTTTATACAAAAGCGGTATGGCACAACACCGAATTTTGCCCCGCTGTTTCGATTATTAGTTTTATGGTGCACCTGACTTAACGGTCTAAATGAACTTTTAAAACGAACCCTCTAAACACTTCTAATATCACGACACGATGCCGAGCCAGTCTTATTCACCTCGATCCTATTTCCCCACCATTCCCGTGATCGAAGTGGGACGTTTTCTATCAGGTCTTACTAATTCATGGAGCTGAGCCCTTCTGAAGGAGCCGCAAATTCTGCAGCTAATCAAGAATTTCCCAGCATTTTATGGAACCCGAAGGTTCATTACCGTGTTCACAAGAGACATCCACTGGTCCCTATCCTAAGCCAGCTCAAACTAATCCATACCATCCCATCCTATCTCTCTAAGATACATTTTAATATTGTCCACCCACCTACACCTTGGTCTTCCGAGTGGTCTCTTTCCTTCTGGCTTTGCCACAAATATCCTACATGCATTCCTCGTCTCCCCCATTCGCGCTACATGCCCTGCCCACTTCATCCTCCTTGACTTGATCATTCTAATTATACTTGGATTTCCAGCACGTATCCACGACAAAATTCGTATGCATTCCTTCTTTCCATCTTAGCCACATGCCAACCTCATCACAGCTTCCTAAACTTAACAATTCTATGATCCATGGGTTACCTCTGTATTTCACAAAGCTCTTCGTTATATAATATTGTCTGCAAGATGTATCCTAGGGCTTCGAGTAAATGAGACGACCAATAGATACAGAAGCTATCTGCGAATATATTGAATAAGCAGTTGCACAGAGCTAACAAAGGATGATTCTCTAGCTTTTGGGGAAGGGCGTAGAACTTAAAACCTTGCATCTTAGAGTGTTGTGTATAACCGAAGTCCTACAAAAGTTTCGGAAATGGTCATTTTCTTTGAAAATGAACTTTTACTATAATTACTGCCTATTTTCGCAGATTTTGATAGACATTTATATTATATGTAGGTACCGTCATGTGTGAGTTTAATTCAATTTAACTTATTTCAGAAGTTCACTTTATTCAGAGTCACAATTTAATGCGTCAGTGCGATGCGCACAAACTGCTTTGTCATACAGGGTGGTTACATACCGTGACAGTAATCCCCCATGCATGGGTTTAATTCTTACGTGAATAAGTAATGAAATATGAGAACATTTTCGGCAGTAACTTCTCAGAGAATGAAGCTGTCAGAGAATAAACGTGCATAGTTTCTTAGAACTGAAATCAGAAGACTTGCATAGTATTCATTTAGCGACCTTGAAATGAAGGTCGTTAAAACGTATTCTCACTGTAGGATGTATGATTTACCGCTAGCACGCTAGAAACAACATGAGGCATAGCACGATCCTCTCACATGTTTCTGTATTGTATCGCGAATCGGTGTCAGCCTTACGGACGTTAAGAGATAAGACTGGTCTTTGTAAAAGGTCTACAGTAATAAATGTGGCCTCTGACGTTTCGAAAGATGATGAACATCGTGGCGGAGTAACAACTCCCGCTAAATTTGCGGTTATCACGTCAGCGACTATGAAGAATACTATCGTCTGCGACGTATCACAGTATAGTATGATAGAAGTGCACTGAAGTTTCAGGAGAACTTAGTACTTTCATCTTCATGGAAAGAAAAATAAACCAGGCAACGAAACAAGCAATGAATACTCTACTTGCCTAATTATCACTGTACAAACTATATGCACTTTAGTCCTACAAGATAGAGTCAGTTCTAAAATATCTTTAATTCCCATGAACATTATCAGCTTACTCGGATCACTTTTTGGTCCTGAAGATGGACGCTACGCTTCACTCGAAAATATTGGTAACGTTCTCCCAGACTACATGCGTCACATCCCGGGTGACGGCACTCTTTCAATTCGTGTTAAATTTTCACCATCAAAATTAAAACGGTAATCGGTTCAGTACTGTCTTCGCTCGCTTGGAAACCGGGATCGTGGGTTCGAATCCCACTCAGGGCATGGATGTTTAGTTTGTGTGTGTGTTTTTTTCTGTATTTGTGTACAGGTAGAGGCCTTGCGAGAGCTGACGACCCGCCCAAGGTGTCCTACCGAATGTGTAGGATCTAGAAAAACCGAAGTGAAAGGAGAAGTTCATGGGGGTAGGCCTAGGCCCACTGGGGCTGTAGTTCCAAGGAAAAAAAATCGGTTCAGTGGTCTTCTGACTCTCAAATCCTGAACGTGTCCATGTTTAATGTAGTTTTACCTTCTTCTCTGTCTGCTTAAGCTTCTGACGATCACGTCGAGGAGGATGAGATGGGCAAGGAGATTAGGAATGCATATAGGATTTTGATAGGAAAGCCATGGGGAAATAGTCCACTATGAAGACCTAGACGTAGGTGGGAGAATAACGTTAAGATGGATCTTAGAGAGATAGGAAGGGGTACTAATGACTGAATTGTTCTGGCTTAGGATAAGGACCAGTTGAGAGCTCCTGTGAACACACTAGTGAATGCTGGGAAATTTTTGAGTGACTACGCAACTGGCGGCTTCTCAAGTAGGGCTCGGCTCCATGAAGTTAGTTAAGATGTTTTGGATATAGTAAAAGTAAGTAAAGGTATTCCTGTAACAGGCTGTGGAGGTCCATAGGGTTGTGAGATGTTGAGGCTCCCACATTTTCTCTAGACAATCGGCTCACAGATGGCGGTGAGGTTGTCAGCCTTACGCGCTGGCC